ATCTTGAAATGTTCTTTTTGATAATGAATGTGATGCCATTCCTCTTCAATTTGTCATTCCTGGCATAGTAAACCATATGATTGTTAGATTCAAAATGACTAATACCAGTCAATTTGAGCTCACTAATGCTTAGGATATTGATCTTTATGCGTCCCATTTCACTTTTGACAACTTCCAATTTTCTTAGATTCATACTTCATATGTTCCGTATTCTAATTATGAATGGATGTTGCAGCTGTTTCTCCTCATCTTGAGTTGTGCCCCATTAGCAAATGAAGGTCCCAAAAGCTTTACTCCATTTGTATCATCATGGTCAACACTGAGGAGTCTGCTCTACCAACCTCAGAGGCTGATTTTATGGCACCATATCTGACAGTTGTTGCTGTTGTTAAGTGCTGTTGAGTCAGTTCCAACCCATAGTGATCCTGTATAGGGCTTCCAAGGAGCAGCTGGTGAGTTTGAACCACTGACCTTGTGGCTCAAATTGACCTTGTAGTCCAGCACTTTCTGGTGCTATTCATAATGTTTCAGTAGTCAGTATTCTGGTGCTGATAATGTTCCACTGATAATTCATCAAGTTTTCAGTGGCTAAACATTCAGAAATAGTCTGCCTGTCTTTCCTAGTTGGTCTTAGTCTAGAAGCTCAGCTGAAACCTGTCTACCACGGGTAACCCTGCTGGAATTTAAAATACCAGTGTCACAAAAACCACCACAATAAGACAAACTGATAGACAAGTGGCTGAATTGTTCCTATCATTGTCATTAAGTGCTGTTGAGTCACTTCTGACTCATAGGGACCCCTGTGTAGGTTTTCCAAGGAGCGGCTGGTGAGTTTGAATTGCAGACTCTGTGAATCTAGCCTAGCTTGTGGTCCAGTGCTTATCCTACAGTGCCACAGATTGTTTCTGTAGCAGATGAATATTGAGAGATTTGTCATCAAGCTCAGTAATTCTGCCTTCCATCGACTCAATTCAATTTCTGAAGTCTTAGTATTAATCTTCTGACTTTCTAATTAATTGCTGTTATTGTGTGGTTTTCAAATTTTCATTTATTTTGTCAGTTTGTTCTTGTAGTGTTTTCCTGAATTCTTTTAAAGGTTTTTTATTGTGTGTGTGTGTTTTCCTTGCTTTCCGCAATCTTTGTCTGAATCCTTTGGAAGGTACCTAAATCATTCTTTACTGAGTAGTTCTGATAGCATTTCTGGTACTATATTTTCTGACTCTGTATTTTGGTAACTTGTTAGAGTTACTCTGTTATGTTTCCTGGCAAATGTAAAAGAGAATGGAAGTGTGAATGCAGTTGTCTGTTCACTGTGTCGTGTACTCCAGGGCAAGTTCATATGCCTGCAGAATCAGGGGTGATTTCCTGGTACCTGACCCCAGGCAGAGCTAAGGCTGTGCAGGATGGGAGGCCTCTGGTCTCTGGCTTGGTGAGGACAGGGACCGAACATGCATTGGCTACCAGGAGGGAACTGGAACAAGGGAAAATAGTACCTGCCCCCCCCATGTTGCCAGCATCTAGCGACTTCCTGTGCCCACAGGCCACTGTACCAACAACTACTTGGCAAAAGTTCAAGATGGCTGCACTGCTCCATGCCAGCTAACAGTCCATTCCGTTTTCTTCTCGCTCATTGCTTCTCTTCATCTTCCTCTTCAAGTTGACACTTTCTGTCCATATCTCTGTCCTACCCTCTGAAGTTTAGGGTTTCAAGATCACTGCCTCTACCTGTTTCTCATTCTCCCATGTCTTTGTTGCAGAGGGTCTTCCCAGTGTGTCTGCCTATTCCACCAGCTTGCCCTGCTAGTCCCATCTTCTTTTAATGCTTCCTGAATTGTTCAGTAGTTTGCCCATAGAATCCTTTGGTATTGTAAGTGGAAGCTTGAATTTTTCTTCAGTTCTTTCAGCTTGAGACATGCCAAGCATGTTCTTTCCTTTTGGTTTTCTAACTCCAGATCTTTGCGTATCTAATTATACTTTACTTTGTATTCTCAGGCTGCCTTCTGAAGGATGTGATCAAGAGATGAGTGTATGTGCCTTTATTTGTTGTTTGTGTACTTCAGGATGGAGTTAGCTGACATGGGTTGTTGTCGTTGATCTGGTGTATAGCAGCTGGTATTGACTGTAGCCCACTTGGTGGGGCTGAAGAGGGTATGGCTGTAGTTGGACTGTATGACCACAACTGATGTCTCCTGTCAGGTAAGCCAAGGTGAGAAAACACTCCCACAACAGAGAAGGAAAACAAACAAAATGAAACAAAAATAAACCAGCAAACAGTGGAAAAATAAGCAGAATATGCCTTCACAAGCCACTTGAGCAAGTTCAAGATGGTCCTGCTGTGCCTCTCTGCCCTTTAACCAGTCTTTTTCTTTCCTCATTTCTCTACCCCACATCTGTTCAGCCACTTCTTCTAATGAGAGCTAGCCCTGGGCTAACCAGAGCTGAATTTGCAGATTTGGAGTAGGGTCTGCCTAAGGGGGCACTATTGCTGCTGTCTCCTCTCCCTTCAGTTGTGTACACAGTCATGGGGTCTGTACAGTTCTGCCTGTCTGGGGTTGTATATTGATAAGGTCTCACCTCTGGTCACCAGGGTAGTACAAGGAACCGGAGAGGAAAGGAGAAAAAAAAAAATCACAACTTTGTAAGTCAAAGGTAGGCTTCTGCAATACATGTTTTCTTGTCTCTTAATCAGCTCACACACATTCAGACTGGCTGTAGCAGGTCCTTTTGGCCGCCCCAAATCAGAAATTACCTCCTTTATTGCCGTGTCTATTCAGCTTTCTCTCCTACTAAGCACTCAATCCACTTACTTACCCCTTTATTTGATGTTCAGAGTTCTAGAACCATTCTCTGAATGTCTTGTCTGGTTTTCTGTATCCTTGCTGCATAAAGAAGGTCCCCACAGCCTTTCTGCCTAGTCTGCCATCTTGTTCTTCCTCCTTCCTTATCTGCTTTTTTAATGACCTTTTGCTTTTTTCATGTATGTTTTGTTGTCATACTACAACTCATCTGGTCTTTGGCCATTAGTGCTCACTGCATCAGATTTGTTCTTGAGATTATCTCTAAATTCAGATGAGAAATATTCAAGGTTGTATTTTGGCTCTTGTGGACTTGTTTTAATTTTCTTCAGTTTCAGCCTGAATTTATATATGAGAAACTGATGGTTATTTCCATAGTTGGTCCTGCCTTTGTTTTGGTTGATAATATTGAGCTTTACAACTGTCTTTTCCCACAGATGTAGTCAATTTTATTACTATCATTCCATCTAGTGAGGTTCATGTTTATAGTTGCCATTTATGTTGCTGAAAACAGTTATTTTTCAGCAACATAATTATCCATGCATCTTGATTGCATGTTTGATCAGTTTCAGCCTGAAGAAGTTGTTGTTGTTGTTAAGTGCCATTGAATCAGTTCTAACCCATAGTGACCCTGTATAAGGTTCCCAAGGAGTGGCTGGTGAGCTTGAACTGCCAACTTTGCAGTTCAAACTGACTTTGCAGTCCAGTGCATTAACACGCAGTACCACAGATCTTCTATTTCTTCATCTTTGGCACTAGTGGTTGGTGGGTAAATTATAATAATAGTTGTATTAATCAGTCTTCCTTGTTAGGTATATGAATATCATCTTATCACTGACAGCTTTGTACTTCAGGATAGATCTTGAAAGAATTCTTTTTGATGATTAATACAATGCCATTCCTTTTTAATCTTTCATTCTTGTCATAGTAGATCATATGTTTTTTGGATTAAAAGTGACCAGTACCAGTCCATTTCAGCTCACTAGTGCCAAGGATATTGCTGTTTATGTATTCCGTTCCAATTTTAATGACTTCCAATTCTTCTAGATTCATACTTTATGCAGTTCGTGATCTGATAGTTAGTAGATGTTTTAGCTATTCTCATTAGCAGATGAAGACCCTGGAAACTTTGCTCTATGCACAACATTAAATTGCCTATACATTGAGGACACAGTTTTTTCCCAGTTAATGTTTTGAGTGCCTTCCAACTTGAAGGGCTCATCTTTCGGCCCTGTATCAGAACAGTCAGCTGCTGTTCATAAGGTGTTCACTGGCCAACTTTTTTTTGAAGTAGATTGCCAGATCCTTCATCACAGGGTGTCTTAGTCTGGAAATTCCACTGAAACCTGCTCACCATGAGTGACTCTGCTGGTATTTGAAATACCAGTGACTTAGCTTCCAGCATCACAGCCACATGACTGTCACCATACATAGTACAACACACTGACAGATGAGTGGTCTTATCTAGTGCTACTGTAATAGAAATACCACACACTGGTGGCTGTAGCAACTGAAATTTATGTTCTTATAGTTGTTGTTATTAAGTGCCTAAGAGTCAGTTCCGACTCATAGTGACCCTGTATAGAGTTTCCGAGGAATGGCTAGTGGGTTTGAGCTGTGGAACTTGTGGTTAAGCAGTCCAGTACTTATCATACAGTGCCACACCAGGTCTCACAATTCGGAGGCCTAGAGAAAGGCTTTCTTGGTTGACTTTGGTGGAAGGTCCTTGTTCCTTGGTTCCTTGGTGATCTTCATGTAGTGTATCATGTATCTTTATCTTTGCTTGCTTCTCTGTGGCTAATCTGATGTTTTATATCTCAGAAGAGATTGATTTAAGACACACATGTTACACTAAGCACTGCCTCATTAACATAAAAAAGAATTCAGTCCTCAATTGTATCACAGTACCACTCCATTGCCTTGCAATAGTTTCCAACTCATAGCAATAATGTAGGACAAAGCTGAACTGCTTCCCTAGGCTTTCTGAGCCTGTAAATATTTCTGCCTCAGATCAGCTAGTGGGTTTGAATCTCTGACCTGGCAGTTACCAGTCCAACAGACTCCTTATGGACTAGTGAAGACTCCATACATATTTACTGAATGAATCAACTAAGGAGTCCAGACTTTCATGCTATCTTTATCTGCTCTCCTTTCATGAAGGGATATCTGACTCAGTTAATGTCGAGCTCAGTCAGGTCTGACCAGATGGAAATCCTGGAATGTAACCAAATTTTTTCATTTGAAAGCTTTAAGCTGAAAAAGGAGGTGTAGTTGTATGTAAGGAGTTAGAGGCAGGACCTAGAGGCCCAGGGTCACTGCTATATCCTCCCTGAGGTCTGAGCAGAAGACATTCAGGCAGCCACACACCATCTGATGATGCAAGAAATGCAGACGGAGGCCATCTTTCCACCTGCACTCAGTCTCCACAAGACTGTGACCTCACAGCTTTTCTTTCTTTATAAATGAACACATTTCAAGCTTTGATTTTGCCTCTAAATGCAGTTTTGCCTTAACTACAAGCATGTTGACTTCTGCTTTGTTTTATGTCTTTTTAAAATATTTAAAGAGTAGCCATGATGGCACAGTGGTTTAAGTGTTAGGCTGGTAACCAAAAGATGGGTGGTTTGAATCCTCCAGCTACTCCATAGGGGAAAGATGAAGTAGTCTGCTTTTGTAAAGCTTTCCAGTTTTAAAACTTTAAGGGGTACTTCTCAGAATATGGAGAAACAGCTGGCAAACATGCATTACTAATTGGAATATGGAATGGATGATGTATGAGTCTAGGAAAATTGAAAATTGTCAAAAATAGAGCTCATAAAGATCAGTATTGTAGGCATTACTGAGCTGAAATAGACTGGTGTTAGCCATTTTGAATATAACAATCACATGGTTTACTATGCCAGGAATGTCAAATTGAAGAGGAAGGGCATTGCATCATCAACAAAAAGAACATTTCAAAATATATCTTGAAATATAATGCTTTCTGTGATAGGATCATATGAATATGCCTGCAGGACCAGTTAATGCCACTATTAGTCAAATTTATGCATCAACCACTAAAGCCAATGATGATGAAATAGAAGAATTCTACCAACTTCTTCAGTTTGAAATTGATCAAACATGTAGTAAAGATGTATTGATAATTACTGGGGATTGGAATGCAAAGGTTGGAAACAGAAAGGATCAGTAGCCTTGATGATCGAAATGATGCTGGAGTTCTTATGATAGAATTTTGCAAGACCAATAACTTCATTGCAAATACCTTTTTTAAACAAAAGACCAATAACTTCATTGCAAATACCCTTTTTAAACAAAAGAGGTACCTCACCAGATGGAATGACTAGAAATCAAATTGACTACTTCTGTGAAATAGATGGTAGAAAACGAAGTCAAAACAAGGCCAGGGAAGACTGTGAAATAGGTTTTCAGTTGTTCTTATGCAAGTTTAGGCTGATGTTGAGGAAAAATTTTTAAAGTCCGCAAGAGCCAAAATATGGCCTTGAACATATCTCACCTGAGTTTAGAGATCATCTCAAGAACAGGCTTGATGCATTAGACATTAATGACTGACAACCAGAAGAGTTGTGGGATGATATCAAGAACATCATACAGGAAGAAAGCAAAGGTAATTAAGAAGGCAAGAAATAAGGAAAATACCAAAATAGATGTTAGAAGAGCCTCTGAAATTTGCTCTACAGCATAAGAGATGTTAAAGCAAATGGAAGAAATGAGAGTAAGGGTGGTTGTGACCCACAGTGACTCAGCTGCCACACTAGGGGCAGTGCTGCATACAGCACTTTTTTTTTTTTTTTTTTCAGACAGACTGCAGTCAGCTGGGAGCTTGCACACCCCAGTTAAAAGGAGGCTCATGCGGGATTTTAGGTGGTTGCAAGACCCACCTGTGGATGTTAGTGGTGCACCATCTGAAAACAACGTCATGCAGTGGAATGCAGTTATATTTCCAAATAAACCACCAACTGTTAGGTTTTTACCTAAAATGTTTCATCCAAATGTATATGCTGATGATAGTATAGGTGTAGATATGCTTCAAAACCGATGGAGTTTTGAAGATACAACATACGATGTATCTTCTCTCTTAACATCAATTCAGTCTCTGCTAGATGAACCAAATCCAAATAGTCCAGCCAGTAGCCAGACAGTGCAGCTTTATCAGGAAAACAAATGTGAATCTGAGAAAAGAGTTTCAGCCACTGTTGAACAAAGCTGAAATGATTAGACACAGACAACTGGTCTATTAGTCATTTTCATCATTGTTGTGTATAATTTACCTCTCAGTAACAAGGCTAATAAATTTTAAGTGCCACAGGTTTTAAGGATTTTGCAGGGAAAAAAAAGACTACAAAAGCTTGTGTGTCTTGATTAATGTACTTTTTAAATTGCATGGCATGAATTAAGTTATTGCTACGTAAATTTGTAATACATTCTGTTTGTATTTTTTCCAAGTGTATAATATTGGTGTGGAGTTTTCATGACAAGAATATTCACATTTTGTAAATCTGTACTTTTTTCAAATATGGAATGCCTTATTTTTTTAATTCTTTAGGTTTTTAAATTGGAGAAAAGCACTGAATAGTTTTTTTTTTTTTTTTAATATATGAATGTTACATGTAAAGCTGTTAAAATACATAGCTTCAGTGCAAAAAAAGAAACAAGAGTAAAAAAACTGAACAGAAAATTTCCAAGGGCAGTTCAAGAAGACAAAGTAAAATATTATAATGAGATGTGCAAAGTTCTGGAGTTAGAAAACAAAAAGGGAAGAGTATGTCAACATTTCTCAAACTGAAAGAACTGTAGAAAAAATTAAAGTCTCTACTTGCAATATTGATGGATTCTATAAGCAAAATATTGAATGATGCAGAAAACATCAAAGGAAGATGGAAGAAGTACACAGACTTATTATACCAAAAGGAAATGGTTGATGTTCAGCCATTTCAAGAGTTAGTATGTTCCCCCTTTAAGACTGAAACTCAAAGGGAACACATGAGCAGGGATGTAAGCTGGTGAGTGGAAGGGGGGGAAAGGCTGCAATGAAGAAATGGGCTGAGTTCAACCACGTTCCATACACTCCTGTTGACCTGGAGATGAGAGAGAAGAAGGACTGGTTGGTCCAAAGCACAGTGAGACCTGGGGACACCTGAGCCCATGGACAAGGACATAGCCACAGAGGGCTAGAGCTGAGAGGGAAGTATCCAGCTTATATAAAGTAAGGGGAGATACACAAGAACACCCAAACTTGCAGACAGTACCCTTTTGACCTAGCCTTGATGGCTTGATAATCAGAATTCGACTAGAGGAAGATTTTTAAAAAACACAACAGAAAATCAATTTTTGATAAGGGAAACCAGGGTAAATTGCTACAATTTGATGAACTTGACCTATATTCATGGAGGCAATAACTCTAAATACCAACAGAGAGGGAAGGAGTCATCACATCAAGTATCAATGCTATCCCCTCTATGCACAGGGTAGATAGGGACGGGGCAACTTAGCTATTGGCTACCTAAAATGAGGGGGCGATAGAGGTATGAAGTTACTTGCTTACAAAGTTTCAAGAGAGAGTTTCAAGAGTGTGTGTGGGAAGACAGAGTCCCCACTGAATAGTTTTCATCTTGTCTATATGGGTCCAGTAAAAAGAGATGGGGATATGATTCTTATGATTCAGTAGTAATTGTTATCATGACTAATTGCGACTGTCACAATTGTAAAGGTAGAGGTTTTGCAACAAAAACAGGGGAGTAGTTAATCTTACAGTCCAGAAACAGGACCCTAGGACCATCAAGGGAGAAGAGCACAAGCAGGATGTGAGACCTTATCCAGAGAAGCAACGACACCAGAGGAGGCAGATGGGGACATGGAGAGAGGGAGTAACTGAGGACTCTAGATTTATGGGAAGAGAAGGACTAAGAGCTGTCAGCCAGGAGGCGGATTTGCAGAAAGAAGGTGCCCTTTGGTGGTGTAAATTATTATATATGCCTGAGTGTTTTATTTTTTAAAAAAGAGCTAAAGTGAATAGAGAGAAATACTGTTATCTGATGGTACATGGAGGGGATTATAATCATTGTAATGAAACAAGGTAAGGTATATGATTTGTTGAATGTAAAACAGATAATCTGCCCTGTAAACTTTCATTCAATTCATAATAAAAACTTTTTTTTAAAAAAAGAGTTAGTATGTTGTAAAGAGCCAATAGTAGTGAAAGAAGTTCAGGGTGCACTGAAGGCAATGGCAAAGAAGATGGCTCTGGGAATTGATGGAATAGAAATTGAAATCTTTCAGCAAACTGATGAGGCACTGCAGGCACTCATATATGCCAAGAAATTTGGAAGACAGTTAACCTGGTGCCCAAATTTGGAAGAGATCCATATCTGTGCCCATTCCAAAGAGAGGTGACTCAGTGGAATGTGGAAATAATTGGACAATATCATTAATATAGACTTCTGGTGTGGCGCTGTAGGATCAGCACTGGACTGTGAACCGCAAGGTCAGCAGTTCAAACCCACCAGCTGCTCCCTGGAAACCCTATGCAGGGTTGCTGTGAGTCAGTACAGACTCAGGGACACTTAACAACATCATTAATATCACATGCAAGTAAAATTTGGTAAAGATAATTCAAAACAGCCACAAGAGTACATTGTCAGGGAACTAACTAAAGGTCAAGCCAGATGCAGATGAGAAGATGGAATGAGGAATATCATTGCTGACATCACATGAATCTTGACTGAAAGCTGAGAATACCAGAAGGATGTTTACTTGTGCTTTATTGATTGTACAAAATGCTTTGGACTGTGTGGATCATGACAAGCTATGGATAACATTGTGAAGAATGAGTGTTCCAAAATAATTGTACTCATCAAGAACCTGTATATAGACCACAAAGCAGTAGTTTGAGCAGAACAAGAGGACAATGAATGGTTTAAAGTCAGGAATGGAGTGTTCCAAGTGTGTATTCTTTCACCATACTATTCAATGTATGCTTAGAAAATAATCCAAGAAGCTGGGTTATGTGAAGAAGAATGTGGCATCAGGATTGGAGGAAGACTCATTAACAACCTGTGATATGCAGATGATACAACCTTGGTTGATGAAAGCGAAGAGGACTTAAAATACTGTTGAATGTCAAACACCACAACCTGCAGTATAGGTTTAATCCACTTTGCCACCATAACTCAGTAAGGCTGGAATTCCAGTGTAAAGAAAACAAAAATCCTCAATACTGGACCAATAAATAACATCATTATAAATAGAGAAAAAGATTGTAGTTGTCAAAGATTTCATTTTTTCTTGGATCCGCTACCAACACTTCTGGATGCAGCAGTCAAGAAATCAAAATGACATGTTGCCCTAGAAAATCTGCACAAGATTGCATTGAAGTGTTCAAGAGCAAAGATGCCCGTTTGAGGACTGAGGTGTGCCTGACCCAAGCCATGGTATTTTCAGTAGCTTCATATGTGCGTTGGCAGTTGGACAGCGAATAAGGAAGGCCATAGAAGAACTGATGCATTTGATTTAATGGTGTTGGGGAATTACTATGGATTGCCAGAATAACATACAAATGTGTGCTGGAAGAAGTACATCCAGAACTCTCTTTAGAAGCCAGGATAGAAAGACTTCATCTTTCATATTTCAGAAATACATACCTTGAGGGGTCAGTTCCTGGAGAAGGATACCATGCTTGGTAAAGGGGAGGATCAACGACAAAGAGGAAGATCGCCAATGAGATGGGTTGGCACAGTGGCAGCAGCAGTGGGCTCAAGTGTAACAGTGATTGTGAGCATAGTGCAGGACGGGGAATTATTTCGTTCATAGTTGTGCATGGTGTTACTATGAGTCGGAACCAATTCTACTAAGACAACAAAGAAGCAGTTTATTCTGTCTTACAGGGTCACTGTGAGTCAGAGTTGATTTGACAGAAGTGGGTTTGGTGTTTAGTTATAATGTTTAAAAAACTTCATTTCTTAACCTGGCATATTTTTTGAAATGGAACACATCTCATTTGTCAGTATTTCATTTGATGACATCTTTTATACTTACTTTCTGCTCTAGGGTTACTATGAGTTGGTTTTGCCCAGGAATTGTATGCCTTCTCATTTACAGTTCATGATTTCACAAGGCCAGGCTTTCTTTTTAACCAAATTTCATAAAGAATTCTCCTAGATATTTTAAAGAATGGAATCTTTGTTCTGAATGTGTCTTTTTCTAAACTCCATCCCTAAGAGGTAAGTTAGCCAGAGTTGGAAACCCTATGCGGGGTCGTTATGAGTCGGAACTGACTCCATGGCACACCATCCCCACCCACACCCCCCAAAAGCAGTGCAGCATGAAGTCAGGAGCTTTCTTCTGTGGCTTCAAACAGCATCTCATACTGTTCTAGTGGGTTTCTAGTTTCTCATTAAAATTTTAAGAAGTTTAAATTGTCCCATTCATCTCTCCCCACTGGGCTGTTCTATACAGAATGTAGGCCACTGAGCACTCGCGCTCCTATTGTTTGGGGTCCTTGCATGACAATCAGAAACATTTTCTGGTTGTTGTTGTTGTTGTTGCTGTCAGGTGCCATCGAGTCGGAACCGACTCATAGCGACCCCATGCACAGCAGAACGAAGCAATGTCCGATCCTGGGCCAATCTCACTACCGCTGCCACATTTGACGCCATCAGTGATGCCACCTGGCTGATCCATCTCATTGGGGGTCTTCCTATTTTTCTCTGACCCTCCACCTTACCCAGCTTGACATCCTTCTCCAGCGACTGTTCTCTCCGGACAATGTGTCCAAAGTAGGAGAGATGAAACTTAGCCATCGTGGCCTCCAAGGAGCAATCTGGTTGCACTTCTTCCAAAACAGATCTATTGGTTCTTTTGGCAGTCCACGGCACTTTCATTATTCTCCTCCAACACCACAACTCAAAGGCATCAATTCTTCTATGATCTTCCTTATTCACTGTCCAGCTTTCGTATCCATATGAGGTTATTGAAAATACCATGGCTTGGGTCAGGCGTACCTTAGTCCTCAAGCTGACATCTCTGCTTTTCAATACTTTAAAAAAAAGTTCCTGTGCAGCAGATTTGCCCAATGTAATACGTCGTCTGATCTCTTCCGCGAGTGTTGATAGTTGATCCATGAAGAATGAAGTCCTTGACAACTTCAGTCTTTCTCCATTGAAAAGAATATTTGTATTGGTCCAGTGGTGAGGATTTTTGTTTTCTTGACATTGAGATGCAATCCATACCAAAGGCTGTGCTCTTTGATCTTCATCAGTAAATGTTTCAAGTCCTCTTCACTTTCAGCAAGCAAGGTTGTATCATCTGCATATCGGAGGTTGTTAATGAGCCTTCCTCCAATCCTGCCGCCATGTTTTTCTTCATAGAACCCAGCTTCTCGTATTATTTGCTGGTTGAGAGACACCAAACCCACGATTCCAACTCATAGTGACCCTTTTGGACATAGTGGAACTGCTCCACAGCATTTAAGCAGTAAATCTATACGGGCACAGACTGCCACATCTTGTTCCTGGCTAGTGGGGTCGAGCTGCAGATTGTGCAGTTAGCAGCCCAAAGTTTAACCCACTTTGCTACCAGGGCTCAGTCAGGGAGGTTGGAATTCCATGACCTGTGGGCGGGAATGGGATGGGGATCAGGGTGTCCTGCTTGCACCTGAGTGCCTGCTAAGTCCCTGTGGCTACTAGCATTGAGAATCTGGACAAGTCCCCCTTTGTTGCCAGAGTAGTGCCTTCGGGCCACTGTAGAGTGGGGAGAAGACTGTGTTTGGCTTGTGCAGGACACCTTCCTCCTTGGACATTCCCACAGGGTTTGTGCCAGAGCCAAGCCATCAGGATGAGCAGCCTGAGTACCCCTAGCCTCCTGGACCTGGCTGCGAAGAGCCTGCTGAGGAATGAGGCCATGGCCATCGCTGCCCTGGAGCTGCTGCCCGTGGAGCTCTTCCCACCTATGCTGAAGGCAGCTGTTACTGGGGAATGCAGGGAGACGCTGCAGGCAATGGTGCAGGCCTGGCCCTTGGCCCTCCTTCCTTTGGGGGCACTGATGACTGAGCAGCAGTCCTACCAGGATATCCTGTGGGCAGCACTCAGAGGACTGGAGGATCTACTTGCCAAGAAGGTTCGCCCCAGGTGAGGGTTGTCAGCAACCTAGCAGGGTCCTGGGGACAGGGAATAGAGGATTAAGGATGCTCTGGGAATCTTGTGAGTTACCTGGGAAGGGGCTTCCGCAGTATAGTGCTGATTAAGATGGGGAAATGACTGAGAACATGGGCCAGCCCCCTCCCAGTGGTACTTGAAAGGTACTAGGAGCAGAGACCAAGAATGACGCTGGAGGGCTGGGGGTGGCAGTTGCCATTGAGTCAGTTCAGACTCAAGGCAGCCCCCTGTGTGTCAGAGTAGAAGTGTGCTCCATGACTGTGACCTTTCAGAAGTAGGTCACTAGACCTTTCTTCTGAGTTGCCTATGGGCTTACACGTAGCAACCTTAAACGTAGCAACTGAGTGTGTTCACCCTTTGCACCACCTAGAGACTCCCCAAGGGGAAAAGGGATGAAGAAAAGAATGAGAGGAGAGAGATGGGAAGGGAGGGAGACAGCTGGGGCCTGACCCCTGCCAAGATTCTGAGACTAGTTGCCAGGCCTTTCTTCTGCGGCATCTCTGGGTGGGATCTCCAATCTTTTGGTGGACAGCCAAGCATGTTCAGTATTCAAATCAACTGTTTGATCTTAAAGCATCTCCACTTCTTTACCCTACAGGAGATGGAAACTGCAAATGCTGGATTTGCGGGCAGGTGCCCATCAGGAATTCTGGATTGTGTGGGCTGGGAGCCCTGCCAGGGGCAGTGAGAACTCGGAGTCAGAGGTAGAGCCACCCAAGGCTAAGAGACAGAAAGTAGAGGTTGCAGGGATGGTGGAGAGAGCCCCAGTGGAGGTGCTCATGGACCTCTGCCTGAACTCGACTGCCCCGGATGAGTTCCTGACTGCCCTCCTCAAGAAGGTCAGGCAGAGGCATGGTCAGTTGCGCCTGTGCTGTAAGAAGCTGCAGGTCTTCTCGGTGCCGATGCAGAACATCAAGAAGGTACTGAAGACAGTGCAGCTCCACTCTGTCCAGAACCTGGAAATGAACTGCACCTGGAAACTGTCCACCCTTGGGCGCTTTGCCCGCTTTCTAGGTCAGATGGTGAACCTGCGCAGGTTCCTCCTGTGTCACCTGCAGGTCTTGCCATCCCACCGTTCCCGGGCCAAGGAGGAACAGTACATCTGTCAGTTTGCTGCCCCCTTCTCTGGCCTGTGCCACCTCCGGGAGCTACGACTGGACTCCATATCTTTCCTGGAGGGCCGCTTGCACCACCTGCTCAGGTGAGTGACTGCATGCTTTCTCAGCAAGACCAGAACAGGCCTGCTTCAGGGCAGTCATGTGGGCACTTGCTTTGTCCTCAAGATAGTAGTCATGTAACCACCCAATAAAAATCAGTAAGCCAACTCATAATGACCCTGTAGAACAGAATAGAACTTCTCCTTTGGGTTTCCAAGACCACCTGTCTCTACAGGAGCAAACAACCTCTTCTTTCCCTCAGAGAGACTGGTGGATTCAAACCACCAACCTTTGGATTAGCCGCCAAGTGCTTAACCACTGTATCACCAGAACTCTGTCATTAGCCATTCCAAAAATGCTAAACACACTGTTGTCAGGTTGATTCTGACTTAAAATTATTGCAATGTTTGAACCCATTTTTCAGTTACTGTGCCATCTCATCTCGTTGGGGGTCTTCCTCTTTTTTGATAACCCCTCACGTTGCCAAGCATGATGTCCTTCTCCAAGGACTAGTCTTTCCTGATAAAGTGTTCAAAGTACAAGAGATGAAGTCTTGCCGTCTTCACTTCTGAGGAGAATTCTGGCTATACTTTAGGACAGATTTGCCCATTCTTCTGGCAGTCCATGGCACTTTTAGTATTCCTCACCAACACCTTCATTTAAAAACAGGGTAGGAGTCCAACACAATGTTGAAGGAACACTGCTCAATTCATAGTTCCCAGCCTTGCCACAGACATCACACTAGACTCTCCTCTGACGATGTTCCAGTGCTGTCTGGAATCATCCTACAGTGAGGGTAAGGGATTTGTTGTTCTTTTCCTGACAGATGAGGAAAGAAAATCTTAGAAACCCAGTTGCTCAACAAATAGGTGAGAAACCCCCTTAAAATCTGACCGACTGGATGTTCATACTCTACCATGCGGCAGGCACCCTGAGGGTTGCCCATCACTGGGTGGGAGGTCCCTGAATGATACACATGGTTTGTGTTCAGCTACTAAACAAAAAAGATCCCTGGTGGTTCAGTGTGTTAAGCATTGAGCTGCTAACTGCTAAGTGTTGTTCTCAAGTGCCGTCGAGTTGATTCCGACCCATAGTGACCTTGTATAGGGTTTCCAAGGAGTAGCTGGTGAGCTTGAACCGCCAACCTTGCAGTTCAAACGGCTTTGCAGTCTGGCGCATTAACCCACGGCGCCACACCAAGTAGATGGCTCAAACTCTCTAGCTGCTCCATGAGAGAAAGATGTGGCTATCTGCTTCTGTAAAGACTTACAGTCACTGAAACCCTTTGGGACAGTTGTACTCTGTCCTTTGTCCTCTAGGGTCACGGTGAGTGAGAATCAACTGGATGACAGTGGGTTGGGTTTTGTTGTTGTAACCTTAACGTGGTGGTTTGAACCCACCCAGTGGAACCAAAAGAAACAGCCCTGGTGATCGGCTTCCATAAAGATTGACAGCCTCAGGGAAGCACTGTGAGGCCATTTTACTGTGTCCTATAGGGTTTCCACGAGTCAGAACTGACTGGACGACAGTGGGGTAGGTTTGCTTGATGGTAACGCAGTGTCCCAGTAGTGCAAATGTATAATCTGCTCCAGCTTCTCCTCCACACACCCTAACTGACCTGCCTTCCTCTAGGTGCCTGACCACCCACTTGGAGATCCTGTCAATAACCAACTGCCTGCTAGAGGAGTCGGACCTGATATACCTGTCCCAGTGCCACTACACCAGCCAGCTGAGGGATTTGAGCCTGAGTGGCGTCAGCCTGACCACCATGAACATCGGGCCGCTTCGCATCCTGCTGGAGCACACCTCGGCCACCCTCCGGGACCTGGACCTGGATGAGTGTGGGATCATGGATGCCCAGTTTAGCTCCATCCTGCCTGCCCTGGGCCGTTGCGCCCGACTTGAAACCTTCAGCTTCTGTGGGAATCCGATCTCTATTGCCGTCCTGGAGAGTCTGCTGCGCCACACTGCTGGGCTGGCGCACCTGAACCACATGCTGTACGCTGCCCCACTGGAGAGCTATGAGGAAGACCATGGCACCCTGCACTTGGGCAGGCTAGCCCAGCTCCACACCCGGCTGACACGGATCATGCAGGAAGTGGGGCGGTCTGGCATAGTCTGGTTCAGCGCCAACCTGTGCCCTCAGTGTGGCGACAGGACCTTCTATGACCCAAATCCCGTTCTGTGTCCTTGCTACACGCCTGCCTAGCTGGGTTCACCATTGATGGAAGGTAGAGAGAGATGGGACATGGGTCCTATAGAGTCAGAAATGGGAACCTGGATTTCTAAAGTGGGTTTTAGTCTTGAATTATCTCTGCATGCGTGGTTGTAAAGAAACGATTAAAAATAAAGAGAACTTCATTGTCAGCCATGTGGTGTCATTTGTGATAGATTGACCTATCTTCCCCGGTTAATCAAAGAAAAAAAAAACCCCAAAAACCTGCTGATTGATTTTGACTCATAGCAACCCTACATATAGGATTTCCCAGACTGTAAATCTTTATGGAAGCAGATAGCCTCATCTTTTTCACACAGCCTCATCTTTCTTACACAGAGTGACTGGTGGATTTGAACCGCTGACCTTATAGTCAGTCACCTAATCCACAGCACCACTAGAGTTTCCATGTTCAGTCTCAGAAATATCTGGTTCCTAATGAAATAAAAAAGGTGCTAAGTGGGTTCTTTGTTACCTCTAGTAGTATAAATGGTTAAACCTGGGCTATGTTTTAATGGAAAGAACTCACCTTGGAAGACCAGCCTGGTGAGCTGCTTAGGAAGGTCACAACCTTGACGACCCTGTGGAGCAGTTCTGCTTTGCACACATTGTCCCCATGAGTCAGATTCAATGGCAACTGGCTAGGATTTTGCTGTTGGCCCCTAATGTTTAAAAACTCTAGGTGCTGGGAGGAGGGTTGGCCCTGAGAGCTCACAGCCCCGGTCCTCACTTCTCAGGTTTGTCTCTCTCAGGTATCTTATCACTAGTTACTGTGGTGTCCACTCTGACTCAAGGCACTCCCATGTGGTCAGAGGAGAACTGCACTTAACAGAGTTTTCAGAAATGGATTGCAAGGCCTTTCTTCCAAGGTACCTTTAGGTAGCCTTGAACCTCCAACCCTGTGATTAGCAGCTGAGGGCATTAACCATTTACTCTGCCACATTAATCATTTATACTGTGTGGTGCTGTGGGTTAATACACCAGACTGCAAAGCTGTTTGAATGGCAAGGTTGGCGGTTCAGGCTCACCAGCTTTCTTAGGACACCCTATACAGGGTTGCTATGGGTCGGAACTGACTCGACAGCACTTAAAAACAACAACAACAACAACAGGGACTCCATAGATAAATAGATATGTAAACTATAATTAACCAAACAAAAACCCACTGCCAGTAAGTGGTTTCTTCTGACTCATGTTGGCAAATTATTGAATGTTGCAGAAAGCATCAAGAGAAGGGAAATGGTTAGTGTTCAGCCATTTCAAGAGGTAGCATATGATCAAGAGGCAATGATACTGAAGGAACAAGTCCAAGGGCATTGAGGGAATTGGCAAAGAACAAGGCCTCAGGAATTGATGGAATAAAAATTGAAATCTTTGAAGAAAGTGAGGCTGCATAGGAGGCACTCACTCATCTCTGCCAAGAAATTTGGAAGACAACTATCTGGTCAACTGATTGGAAGAGATATTCATATTTGTGCCCATTCCAAAGAGAGGTGGCCCAATGGAATGCGGAAATCATTGGACAATCTGATATCTCAAACGAGTATAGTTTTGCTAAAGGTAATACAGAAACAGCTGCAAGCATACATTGACAGAGAACTGCCATAGGTTCAAGCTGGATTCAGAAGAGGCCGTGGAAAGAGGCATATCATTGCTGATGTCCAATCGATCTTGGCTGAAGGCAGAGAATATCAGAAAAATGTTTACCTGTGCTTTATTGACTACACAAAGGCTTTCAATTGTGTGGGTCATGACGAGCTATGGGCAACATTGCGAAGTATGAGTATTCCAGAACATATAATTGTGCTCATGAGGAATCTGTACATGGACCAAGAGGCAGTTGTTAGAATAGAACATGGAAACACTGAATGTTTTAAAATTAAGAAAGGTGTACAAGGTTGTATTCTTTCACCATACTTATTCAACCTGTTTGCTGAGGAAATAATCGGAGAAGCTAGGTTCTATGAAGAAAAACGTGGCATCAGGATTGGAGGAAGACTCATTAACAACCTACAGTATGCAGATGATACAACCTTGCTTACTGAAAGTGAAGAGGACTTAAAATATTTACTGATGAAGATCAAAGAGCACAGCCTTTGGTATGGATTACATCTGAATGTAAAGAAAACAAAAATCCTTACCACTTGACCAATAAACAACATTCTTATCAATGGAGAAAAGATTGAAGTTGTCAAGGACTTCATTCTTCTCGGATCAACTATCAACACGGAAGCAGCAGTCAAGAAATCAAAGGACGTATTGCAGTAGGCAATCTGCTGCACAAGACCTTTTTAAAGTGTTGAAAAGCAAAGATGTCAGCTTGAGGACTAAGGTGCACCTGACCCAAGCTATGGAATTTTCAATAACCTCATATGCATGTGAAAGCTGGACAGTGAACAAGGAAGACTGTAGAATTGATGCTTTTGAGTTATGGTGTTGGGGAGAATATTGAAAGTTCCACAGGCTGCCAAAAGAACCAATAGATCCGTGTTGGAAGAAATTTAGTCAGAGTGCTCCTTGGAGGCCAAGATGGCCAAACTTCGTCTCTCATACTTCAGACATATTGTCAGGAGGGACCAGTCACTGGAGAAGGATATCATGTTTGGTAAGGTGGAGGGTTGAGAAAAAGAGGAAAACCCCCAACGAGATGGATTGGCCAAGTGGCAGCATTGATGGACTCAAGCATGGCAACAGTAGTGAGGTTGGCCCAGGATCGGGCAGTATTCCGTTCTGCTGTACATACGGTTGCTATGGGTCGGTACTGACTTGATGGCACCTAACAACAACAACAACAACAACATTAAGTGGATTCTTCTAACTCATGTTGTTAAGTGCTGTTGAGTCTGATTCAGTGACCCTGTAGTGGTTTTTTGAGGCTATAAATCTTTACAGGAACAGACAGCCTCATCTTTCTCCTGAGGAAAAACTGGTGGGTTTGGACCACTGACTTTGTGTCTAGCAGCCAAATGCTTAGGCTGTAGTGCCACCATCACCAATAAAATTGTCATGGTGTCAATTGTGACTCCTATAACCCCCACATGTGTCAGAATAGCACTGTGTTCCACAGGGTTTTCAATGGCTGATTTTTCAGAAGTATATTATCAGGTTTTTGTGAGGTGCCTTTGGATCGACTTGGACATCTAGTCTTTCCAATAGCAGCCAAGGGCATAACTGTCTCCACTGCTTGGGCTACTGGGGCATCTGCTCCCTACTTGCTTATTTCTGTGGCTGGCAAGGTGTGCATCTTCAGAATCTGTAACAGATGAGGTGGCTAGTTTCGAGCACAAGTGTGGAAATGTGCTATTCACAGAGGCTCTCACTGCTGACTCACTGAGACCCCAACACAGACCCTCATGGTTCTCTGATAAATCTTGGCACAATCCAAGAATCAATTTGCGTCACTGTGCACAAGTCACGCCCTTGTACTGGAAGGGGATGTTCATTCATTCATGATGAGCCAGAGACGGTGGGCCTCTTCAAACCCTGCTGCCATTCTGCCAGGTCCGCCCCTTCTTTTTTTTAAAGGTTTTTATTGTGGATTGAGTGAAAGTTTACAGGGCAGATCATCAGTTTTACACTCAATAAATCATACACCTTGTTTCATTACAATGATTATAATCCCCTCCATGTTAACAGTAACCATCAGTTAACAGTATTTCTCTCTATTCACTTTAGCTTTTTATTAAAAAAAAAACAAAACACTCAGGCATATATAATAATTTACACCTACAAAGGGTGCATTCTGCAAGTCTGCCTCCTGTCCACCAATTCTTAGTCCCTCTTCCCATGAATCTGCAGTCCTCAGCTGCTCCCTCTCTCTATGTCCTCATCTCTACCTCCATCTCTGGCATCGCTGCTTCTCTGGATAGGGTCCTGCATTCTGCTTGTGCTCTTCTCCCTTGGTGGTCCTAGGGTCCTGTTTCTAGACTGTAAGATTAACCACTCCCCTCTTTTTGTTACAGAACTTCAACCTTTACAATAGTGACAGTTGCAATTAGTCATGATAACATTTATGAATCTTATCTGCATCTCTTTTCACCAGACCCATCTAGACAAGATGAAAACTATTCAATGGGGACTCTATCTCTCCCACCCCCCACCCCCATACTCTTAAACTAAACTCCCTCTTGAAACCTTGTAAGTCAGTCACTTTGTGCCTTTATCGCCCCCTCATTTTAGGTAGCCAGTGTCTAAGTGGCCCATCCCTATCTATCCCCTGTGTACAGAAGGGATAGCATTGATACTTGATGTGAAGACTCCTTCCCTCTCTGTTGGTATTTACAATTACTACCTCCATGAGTATAGGTCAGGTTCATCAAATTGTAGAAATCTACCCTTATTTCCTTTATCAAAAAAAATTTTTTTGTAATCTTCCTCTAATGATTGTTCTGATTATCAAGCCATCAAGACTAGGTCAAATGGGTACTGTCTACAAGTTTGGGTGTTCTTGTGCATCTCCCCTCCCTCCATATCAGATGGATGCTTCACTCTCAGCTCTAGTCCTCTGTGGCTATGTCCTTGTCCATGGGCTCATGTGTCCCCAGGTCTCATCACACTTTTAGATCCACCCCTTCTTAGATGAAACTAGTGGCCAGTGAAGACATGTACAGTCCTTTCAGCAAGATACCAAATCATATAAGTATCTGACATTTGTTTTCGTATTTGTAGACTGATGCAATCTGATTCAAGATTGTTCACTGTACTGTAGCTGTAGCAGTCTGTATCCAGAGAGAGCAGACTGTGGACACCAGGAGTCAATTCTCATAAGAGGGTGTTTGTTGGTTCCAACATCTAGGAAGGCTCCAAAGCTAGAGTGAGATTATGTTAGAGGAATGCCAAGACAGAGAGTTTATCCAATATTTGAACAAGCAAAATGTGATATAAGATGAAGAGACAGTCCGTGGCTCAATTTTCAGTAAAACAATAGATAGGCCTATAAGGTGAACAATCGGTTGCACTCCTTAGAACAGTCAATCATTCAAGATCAAAAGGTC